GTGGACCCTTTTATGACCTTTTGTAATGCTTGAGGTCAAAACTGAGGTCAGCATTGAGTTTGGACTGAAACGGAGGTCAATTTACCTGAAATTGACGAATGCATATAATTTAACAATTTGTGGCATACTTTGTCCTCTCGTGACCTCTGAGGTCAAAACGGAGGTCACCATGAAGTTCAGAGTCAAATTTCAGTTCGGATTGAAATATGTATCTAATTTAACATTTTCGTGACTTTGTTGGCCTTTTTGACCTTGACCGGTGTGACCTTTGCCCCTAAATTACAATCGTTATTTTTACATTTGACCGTTTGGCTCATATCAGTCACAAAAATTAAACTTTTTAAAATATGAGAACCAAGGGCAAATAAATATTTGAAACTGGTCGTTAAAATTTCGGGTGAAAAAGTTTTTCACGCGAAAACATTTTCGGCTCACTTCAGCCGAAAAAATCTAGTAAATTTCGGTCGAGCGAAAAACCGTCCCAAATTTTCACCCGAAATATTTTCCGAGGTGAATACCGTGAGCCGAAATTTTTCCATTTTTTCGCCCGAAAAGTGGGTTTTCACGCGAAAAACATGAGGTGAATACCTAGCTTTAGTTTGGGTTGTAGGGTTTTATCGTCTAGTCAGAGCGTCGATTTTCGAAAAACGGTACGCGACACCTTTACAGGGCGCTGAAACTTTACAGTCGATGGTAGTCCCGGTAATTTACTTTTTTGTTCTAATTCGAACGGAATTAAGTTCCTTAGATCTTGTGGAAGGGGAAGCACGATACCCGGTTAATTTAAACTTCTCCACAATTTCCATTTGTGACAATCTCCCTTCGGAAAATTTATTTCTTACAGGTTCGACTTCTGAAGGCAATTTCTCTTTCATTATTTAACCAAATTGGGACAACAAAACGTTTTATTGATGCCCAGGAAGTACAGATCCAGAATAAAATTTAACAAATTAAAAAAAATCTTCCCGCGCAGAATTTGGTCGGTTTTCATTGCTGTCCAAATAGGATAAATAGCCCTGTATTGAGTATCTACGTAAATCCAAGGGAATTTACCAAATATGAAAATTAGTTTTTAGACATGACCCATCCCACGCCTCATGTTAACAGGACAAAGAACAGTTATTCAAAATTGTCACCGTCTTTTCAATCTAACCGTCTGGTGGAATTTAAAAATTATTTTTCAACAGAATGTTTACTTTTCAAAACTTTCAATCTCTTTGAATCTTTCTGTATTTTTAGAAAATAATAAATACGTATTCTAAAAATTTATTGAATTTTAGGAAGTAAGTTTTCCCTAATTCATAACTCCAGGGCCTTAGAATTTTTCAAAATAAAAAAAAGTATTTACTATATTCATTTTATAAATGAATTTTCTATTTCCCAGCTCTGCTTTTAAACATATGCCTGTGTTAAAAATGCAAGCAATTTTTTTTCACTATTAACCTCTTTAATAATACCGCATATATTGAACTTATGAAAAGGCCCGGTTCTCAAGACGTACCAGGCCCGATAATTTAGCGGTACGGCTCTGGGGAGGGGTTCCCAGCATCCGTGACAGACCGTGACATATAGGGGGGTTGGGGGTGGCTAATTTGTGACATCACGTTTCATACATATGCCAATTTTGTCAAGATTTGTACAAATTCAAAAAATTGCATAATTCGAAAAATTTGTAATAATTTAAAAAATGCACATAACGGACGATTCCACAAGCTTGGACTCGGGCTAAAAACTCTAGAGAAGACAAGCTTTGTTGACCATGGGGTCCGCACGACCGTCTGCGTCTCCGTGGCAGGGCTGTTGTACTTAATTACTTTTGTACTTAAGTACTCCCTTAATTACTGAAATTGAAGTAATTAGTAATTGATACTTGATTTCAATTACTCCGAAATTTTCTAAAAGTATTTGATACTTAAGTACTTAAGAGGATTAATAGTAGGATTAATAGTACTTAAAATAGGAAGTATTTAATTACTTGACCAAGTAGTAACTAGTAATTGAATTCTCAATTACTTTGATCGATTACTTAATCGACCATAGTTTGGGGTAAATTTGAGATAAATTTGGGGTAAGTCTCGTTCACCGGATGAAGTTTGGAATCTTTTTGTTGAGGACAGTGGTCCCATCCAGCTATTGCATTGCTTGCATATTGCAACCTACAATGCAATTATTGATTGCAATTGTTCCATGGACTACAAATTGGAAACGTACTCAAACAATCTCGTTTCTCATTACCTGTAAAACTAAAATTATCACAAGAAATTTATGCACTGTTGAGAAATTTGTATGTAAATTTCTTTACATAATCACAAAAGTCCTCCGGGCAAAACGGCAAACGACTGACTGTATAAAGTACACAATTTGAAGTTCAAATTTTCAAGCATTGGATATTAAAATGCTAAAGTTGAGGGCAATTTGCCGAGGAATATTTATGGCTCAAAAGTTATTAGTAATTAGGAGATAGTATTTATTTTATGGGAAGTAATTAGTAATTAAAATCAATTACTAATTAGGAAGTAATTAGTAATTGATTTTCAATTGAGGGTGTGAGTCGTAAAACACGTCGCCTAAACTATGGTTACAAAATTGAAATAAAATGTAGTTTTATTTCAATATATTTCATTAAATTTGAGCAATTTGATGAAAAAACTCCAATGTGCAGCCTTCATTTAGCCCGGGACAGAGTCTGCTTATCAATTTTTGTCCGAATTGACCAGAGTACCACCCCCGTAGTGGGGATGGCCAAATGTTTGTTAAATAGTTTCTATAATTTGGTACCAAATTTTTTAAGCATTTAACATCTTTCCCCTTGACTATCTGGACTCGTAGGACTCGCTTATTTAAAATTTTGCAAATCCAAAATTGTATTTGCTACCGTAGAATCAAATCCAATTTTGCAAATATTTGCAATGCATTAGAAAATTAACATCTGCCTGGAAGTAATTTTTAGCTTCCATACTAAATTTCAGCTGAAATAGCAACTTTTTAAAAACGGTATGGGTTACCCCCTGGGGTCACTCTGATTACACTTTTAGCTTCATATTCTTTCATGAGAAGCTATTAAGTATCCCCGTACCGAATTTCATCTGTTTACGACAATTTATGAAAATCGGTAAGTCACCCCCTAGGGTCACTAGACATAAAAATTTTGTTAATTTCACATGATATTATTTTATTAGGGGCCATAAGCAACCTCTCTACCAAATTTCAGCTTCCTGCGACAATTTTGAAAAATCGGTATGGGTCACCCAGTACGGTCCCCCAGACAATTTTTTTTAAATTTTACTTCATATTGTTCCATTAGAGGCCATTAGTAACCTCTTTACCAAATTTCGGCTTTCTACGACAATTTTGAAATTTTGGTGCATAATGCCCCACCCACCTAGGTGATCCCCACGGGTAAACCAGTGGACCGATTTCGCCCATCTTCGAACTCGTTTCCTAACTTTGTCCAATATGCATATGGTAAAAATTTCAAGTCAATCGGTTCAGCCGTTTTGGCTCTTTCATGTTTACGGACGGACGGACGGACGGACGGACATGACGGTTCCATAAGCCCTGACTCGAGCTAAAAAGTATAATTTTGCAGTTGCTAATAGTGACAAAATTTTAATTTTTTGGCGACGTGTTTTACGACTCACACTCTCAATTACTAATTAGTAATTGGTACTTAAAAATCAATTACTCTTTGGTGAAGTACTTGTAAGTAGTAATTAAATTCAATTACTGGAAAAATAAGTACTTGTAATTGATACTTAATTACTTTATTTTCATGTTGAGTAATTAAGAATTAATTACTTTCATAGGTAATTAAACTGCCCTGCTCCGTGGTCTAGTTTTCATAATTTTCCGCAAATATTTTGCAAGATTTTCAAAACCCCACACCATTTTTAAGTTTGACAAGTTAAAACTACAAAAAGCGAGCATAACGTTTCTTAGCATGCTTGTCAAAAAAAATCAGTAATATTCTTATCTTTACCTGCAAAAAAGCTAAGAAACGTAATGCTTGCCTCTTGTAGTTTCAGATTGTCAAAGTTGGTCACCTCTTTGTACGGTACTCGTGTTTGCTAAATGTGCTTTCCCACAAATTGTTTGAAGTTTTGAAACAACTATAGATTGCAATTTTGGAGAAAGTTGTTGCAAATTTCTGTAGCTTTTCATTCGGATCATTTCAAGGTACCATATGTATCTAGTCACATATGAAAATTCATAAAATTTCATGCTGAATCCGAATATTAAACTAGTTTTAGTCTAATTTGTATTTTGAAGAAGTTTGTTTCAATCCGCCCCAAAATCTAACAAAAGCCTACAAAAACCCCAAAAACCCACAAAAACCCCAAAACCCCCAAAACCCCCAAAACCCCCAAAACCCCGGAAAAACCCATGGGTCTGGGTTTTTCTAGAAAAACCCATAGGTTTTCCGAACCCTGGCCATCTGTACTATCTCCATATTTATATATACAATAAAATTGAGTTTAAATTAACTCAATGTGAGGAATACAGGAACTATACAGGAATGTACACACTAATTACGAATGTATGCACATGGTCGCCATTATATAGTTTACATAGTTTTGTTCATTGAAGAATACACGATTAAGTGTATGTACACATGTATATATAGAATGCCTGACTCGTGGGACTGGACGTGGTATTTAAATTTAATTATATCCGTGAAAGTGAAAGCTGAATAAATAAAATTTACTTGTCAAACATCGAAATAATTTTCAAACTTTGATTACTTAATGTGTTTACATATCTATGTTATTCGTATTTTGCATGCATCTTGCTACCCCATAAAGAAATTTACATTTGCATTCACATTTACACTTTTAATATTTAATTGAAACTATATAAATTGCATACAGAAAACTTCAGATTGATTCGAACCAAGCTGGTAGATAATCAATCACCAACTTATTTGTAAGAATTATGTCTAGATACTTGTTGTTTAAGGAAATATTTATAGAATAAAAATTTTGGAGTTTAATTTCTTCGAATTATTGTCAACCAAATTTATTTTGAGCCCTGTTCGCAATTTTTAACAATTTTGTACTCCTTAGCATGTTCCGGTCTCTCAACGTTTACTCTTTCCACTGTCACTGTGAGTATCTCTTCTGCGTTCACGGTGCACTGAACCTGGTCCTTGTCAGCATTAAGGGGAAGGTGATATTTCCGCTTGAATGACCGAGAGATAAGCCCATGTCCATCGTCTTTCTCCTCATGCTCCCCGTGGATCACTAGAAAATCGTCCATCGTTTTCACGCTGATTTCTTCTGGGGAAAAGTGAGGTAATTCAAGACAAACGGTGAACTGGTCCTTGGTTTTGTGTACTCCGAGAATAGTAGGAAGATCGCGATGGGATGTTAACGCAGCGGACATAATTTTCCCCAGAAACCCCTTCGAATGACGGGGATGCTTTCCTGCGGACTGAATGGTGTGGACTTTCCCCTTAAAATTCTCCTCAAGCCGGCCTCTAGGCACTGTTACGGTGAGGATGCCGTTCACATCTGCGTAAAACATGGAAAAATGTCATTATTTATGCCACGAAATATGTGTACATAATTGGCCACCACGTCTTAATGATATCTTTAGGAACTCCAAATTTTGTTAAGGATATCAATATTTTGAACAATTGGACTTCCTGCCCAAGCCGCCAACTCTTCGGTGGACGTACTAAGGATCTATTAATGTTGGCACAAAATACTTCCATGGGCCTTCACATGTTAATTACAGAGGCATTTGGATGTGCAAACGACTACTTTTTGGCGGACATTGGTAGATGCTTCGGACGTCCGTAAGACATCTACGAGGACGTTGGCAGTTTGGGTAAAGAAACCATTAGTTGGCGCGTCTTTTGGCCCGATAGCCGATTTGGAATATACTTGTTTATATTTTTAACTATGCGGGCTAGGATTATATATGTATTTGAAATTTACCAATATCGCAACGCAGTTCATCCTCTTTTGAATTGCCCGGGAGCTGAAAGCGTCTCGTAAATGAGCGGGAGAGAAATCCGTGCTCATCCTCTTTATCTTCATGCTCGCCTCTTATGACAAGGTCGCCTACAGAGGTGGTTACAAGGATCTCATCAACTGTAAAGTTTGCTACGTCCACTTTAACCTTAGTTTTGTCCTGATCCACGTAAACTTCTGCGAATCCCAACTCATTCGGGAGGAGGGGGTGGGTGTAATTGGTTGCTTGGTTGTAGTATGGGTCCTCGTAGTCGTCAAGCTGATAGGGATTCCACATCGTGAATACAGGATGTGCGATATTAAATATCTTTATTGAAACAATCCTACAGCAAATGTGAAGGCAAAATTTTACAGAAATATCCAACTGGGATAAATTTTATATCGATTCGAGTAGGAGAGATAGAATGTGCATGCAATGTCAACTCGGCACCTTTTTATCCTGTATTTACGAGCTGCTTAGTTGTTGTTATTTTGATGGAAAGTGTGTAATTTACTTATCATTATGAGGGTATGTACGTGCCGGGATCAACGTGTATTTACAAACAAGGTGCATGATGCTCATTGTATGCAAGTGTGTAGGCGTGATTGAAGGCTGGCAGTCAAGCTGTTTTCGCATACACAGGAGTAAACTATTTATTTTTTGCAGATATAAATATGTATAGTGTGGTGAGATACCAAATACATACCGTACGTACTTAGGTACGTAACTGTATGACGGAGTCTAACTAATCTGAACATATGAATTACTGACTACATACGTGCAGCAGTGCATAAGTAAATATTATTTTTTAGTGAAACTTGAACACGACTGTTTTTGAGCTACATATTTATGTACATATACTTATAGGTAGAAAGTTAGCATGGAAAATCACGTTTTTACCTTAGACATTAGTGTTCTTAGACGAAAATGCAATATGTATTATTTTTTGCATAGTTAAAATACAAACAATGTGTTATGGTCAATGCCGCCACAAATTATTTTTAATAAGTTCAAAAGCACGTTGCGTACATACTGCTAAACAATATGGTTGAGATGCCTTAGCCCAGAAGATGTGACCGGATCGGCAGTAAGTAACACCGCCAAAGGGAGGTATCGGATCTAAGGAAATGTGGCCAAAGTCAATTTTACAGAAACACAAGGTATGTAATGTGCGGGTTAGATTGATAACTCAACCAAAAAGCACTTCAATCCTCAAAATTAGCGAATTGTACAAAATCCATCAAAGCGAGGTTTTTATTTTACGTAGGGCAAATTCTCAAATAAAAAGTAACATATCCCTTTTTCCAGTTTATTCAGAATTTATTGAAAGCTTAACAACCAAATGCTTGGCTAACATATGTACATAATATCCAACAAGAAATTACCTACAAGTTACTACAAGACAAATCACCCTGTATGAGTCTCAGCATTATTTAAATGACTTTGGAATAGTTTTGTTAAATTAATAGACACATATGTAACCAGGAAGGAAAATTCCGAAACTACACTCTCAGAAACCGGGTGATCGACGTTATTATGTTTACCACCATATGCATATGTACAAAATGTTCGCAAAATCTGCAGTTACATTTCTATAATGACAACTCACTTATACGTAACTAGTGTTTTAGTAGGCTTCAACAAAACCTGCCTAACTTCAGTTGTAATGGCATCGAAAAGTGACCGCATTTTACATTTACTTTTACCAACAAACCTCAGCCCAGAGCCGTACCGCTAAATTATCGGGCCTGGTACGTCTTGAGAACCGGGCCTTTTCATAAGTTCAATATATGCGGTATTATTAAAGAGGTTAATAGTGAAAAAAAATTGCTTGCATTTTTAACACAGGCATATGTTTAAAAGCAGAGCTGGGAAATAGAAAATTCATTTATAAAATGAATATAGTAAATACTTTTTTTTATTTTGAAAAATTCTAAGGCCCTGGAGTTATGAATTAGGGAAAACTTACTTCCTAAAATTCAATAAATTTTTAGAATACGTATTTATTATTTTCTAAAAATACAGAAAGATTCAAAGAGATTGAAAGTTTTGAAAAGTAAACATTCTGTTGAAAAATAATTTTTAAATTCCACCAGACGGTTAGATTGAAAAGACGGTGACAATTTTGAATAACTGTTCTTTGTCCTGTTAACATGAGGCGTGGGATGGGTCATGTCTAAAAACTAATTTTCATATTTGGTAAATTCCCTTGGATTTACGTAGATACTCAATACAGGGCTATTTATCCTATTTGGACAGCAATGAAAACCGACCAAATTCTGCGCGGGAAGATTTTTTTTAATTTGTTAAATTTTATTCTGGATCTGTACTTCCTGGGCATCAATAAAACGTTTTGTTGTCCCAATTTGGTTAAATAATGAAAGAGAAATTGCCTTCAGAAGTCGAACCTGTAAGAAATAAATTTTCCGAAGGGAGATTGTCACAAATGGAAATTGTGGAGAAGTTTAAATTAACCGGGTATCGTGCTTCCCCTTCCACAAGATCTAAGGAACTTAATTCCGTTCGAATTAGAACAAAAAAGTAAATTACCGGGACTACCATCGACTGTAAAGTTTCAGCGCCCTGTAAAGGTGTCGCGTACCGTTTTTCGAAAATCGACGCTCTGACTAGACGATAAAACCCTACAACCCAAACTAAAGCTAGGTATTCACCTCATGTTTTTCGCGTGAAAACCCACTTTTCGGGCGAAAAAATGGAAAAATTTCGGCTCACGGTATTCACCTCGGAAAATATTTCGGGTGAAAATTTGGGACGGTTTTTCGCTCGACCGAAATTTACTAGATTTTTTCGGCTGAAGTGAGCCGAAAATGTTTTCGCGTGAAAAACTTTTTCACCCGAAATTTTAACGACCAGTTTCAAATATTTATTTGCCCTTGGTTCTCATATTTTAAAAAGTTTAATTTTTGTGACTGATATGAGCCAAACGGTCAAATGTAAAAATAACGATTGTAATTTAGGGGCAAAGGTCACACCGGTCAAGGTCAAAAAGGCCAACAAAGTCACGAAAATGTTAAATTAGATACATATTTCAATCCGAACTGAAATTTGACTCTGAACTTCATGGTGACCTCCGTTTTGACCTCAGAGGTCACGAGAGGACAAAGTATGCCACAAATTGTTAAATTATATGCATTCGTCAATTTCAGGTAAATTGACCTCCGTTTCAGTCCAAACTCAATGCTGACCTCAGTTTTGACCTCAAGCATTACAAAAGGTCATAAAAGGGTCCACAAGTGTTAAATCGCGGATGTGTGTAAATTTTAACCGAAATCCAACCATATGAATGCAGAAAAGGTGAAGGAGGTTTACGGTCCATAAATCTCAAGTGCGCCAGCCACACCCCCTCAAAGGGTCGTCCAAATTGGATGGTCCAATGCTAAACTAGCCGCACAACAACCTTTATCAAAAATCCAATTTTGCTCTGATTTTCACAATTTGTGCATGCTATTGATGTCAGATAGTTGCAAACTCATCGTTTTTGAAATTTTCAATAGTTTTGAAAATTTTATGGCCAAGTATTGAAAAGTGTGAAATTTCAATAAAGTTGAGTTTGATGTCGGAAATAAATCAACTATCTGATATCAATAATATGCACAAATTGTGAAAATCAAAGCAAAATTGGTTTTTTCATAAAAGTTTTAGTGCGGCTAGTTTAGCATTGGACCATCCAATTTGGACGACCCTTTGAGGGGTGTGGCGTAATGAACTCTAACCCTTCACTTTTTCTACACTCATATACTTATGCAGCATATCCGAAGGGGGTCAATAATTGGCACTTGGCAGTTTCATGAGATTGTTTCCTAAAATATTTCTGGAGCGAGCTGAATACCGTTGGTTTTTCAGGCCGAAATTGTGCCGAAATTGTGTTTTTCGCTCAATTTTAATTTTCACACGAAAAAATTTCGGCTGAAAAATTTCGCCTCAAACTTTTCGCCCGAAAAAAAAGTAGGTGAACACTAGGCTTAAAAGTGGAACAGGTGTTAAAATATCTCAGCTGCATATGAGAAGAGTCATCAATAACAAACTTTAATAAAAAAGGTCAAAAACGGACCAAAGTTCGAACGTTTTATAACTTAATCTCGAAAATCTTTAGAGAAACAACCCAGCATGCAGCCGGGTTGAAACATAAGTTAGGAATATCGATCATTCTTATTTCCCAGATATTCGTGTAAGATTCTGAAGCCACTCCTTTAGATTTTTTATTGGTTTCAAATGCCAAAACTAACAATTAAACTCGGACGAGTTTTAATTTTGAGTGCTTTTTCGGAAACCTTTTAACGAGAAGGTGAATATGTTTACAATCGAAAATATAGGAAAGGCAATGAATTCATGGAAACTGTGATATAGGCTATATCATATATCATATCATATATAGGCTATATCATATAGCCTGGGTAGCTACAAGTCTTGTGAACACGCTACACAAGCAAAACAAATTCATCAACGGCGACTGAGGTTTTTGGGTCAGTTTCGGTTTCTGTCCAAATAGGATAAATAACCTCTGTAATCAAGATTAGCATTTTTCTTAAAATTTTGAACATGATTTTCCAATCCTATTTTGTTATTTGTTAAGCATCAACACGTGCGAAAATTTTATACCAATCTTCGTATAACATTAACTACATACATAACTCTATTCTTGATTTTGTGTAAGGGTTTAATATAAAAAGCACGATTTCAGGAAATTTGCTAACTTTTTTTGCTTAAATTTCATTCAGTAAGGTTAAAGTTATGCATTAATTAAAATCTGGTAATAATATCTGAAAAATCTCTAAATAACCTAGTGATAGTTTTAGCCGATTTTAAAATTTGTATCTGGAATTAAAACCTTACAAATCTTTACGTCTTAAAAATGTTTTTGAGAACAAAACTCCATCCTTCTAGTTTTTCATGCCACTAAAATGCTATTATTTTTTAACCAATTTTTACTTATTTGAGTTCCTAGTTTTGAAATAATTGTAACCTTCTCGTGCCGATATGAGAATTATTTTAATATTTTGAATAACAATTTTTTATTTTGGTTACTCTTTGCTATGATCAGTAGCAATTTTTGCCTTTTTTGCTAATAATAATTTAACGATTTTCATAAACTAAATGCCAAATTTTCATAGGTCTCATTTATTATTTATTATTTCACATGCGTTAAAAATGGAACGGGCTCTCTAAATTTAAAGATTTCATTTTGAGCCAAAGTTTTTGCCAACGAGTTATTTTTTCTAGAATAATCTTGAAATGCCCTCAAATTAAATTCCCAGAATTTTTTTTAGTCCATATTTCCTAAACATTTGAGTGTGAATGCGTGCAAAGCACCTGAAATATGTAAAAAAAAATTAAATCTTTAATAATTTAGAAAGTGCAAAAAATGATGCTTTCATAGATTTGGGTTCT